TAATGTTTCAGCATGTTAGAAAAATATCAAAACTTATAGTAAAAAAAAAAAAAAAAAAAAAGAAAGCGTCACACATAGAGGTTATGAGTATAATAATGCATTCTTCTCGCGTTCAGTGAAATTTGGAGCCCGTTTACGCGTCGTTTCTTCATTTCGAGTTGGGGAACTCAAGTGAAAACGATTCTCAGTGGCAGTCGTGTGCTAGCATCCATAATAAACCACACGTGGACAAATGTACATATATTTTGTATTTATTTACAATTTTCAAGAAAGTTTTTGTCATGTTTACAAAAGTCGGTGTCAGAGTTGTTGAATGAAACAATGTTTCATCTGGTAATCACAGAAAAAAAGAAAAAGAGCAAAGAACAACCGCCGGCGCCGACTACCGCGGCAAAAAGTGTTGTTTGCATCTCGTGATGTCTCTCCGCCAATCGTATTCGTTCCTCTGAGCGTTCCCTAGTTCGCTCTGTTTGTCCCTAGAGTCCCTACGCAAATCCAGCTTTTAGCTATGGGCGCGTCTGTAAACCCGAGTTATCGTTGCAACCGGAATGTAAACACGTGCTTATCGAAGCTCGGTTTTAGGCGTTAAGCCGACTTAGGAAAGATCCGCTTTGGGTTAAGGTAAACGACGTTGGTGCATCCGACCTTTAATGGCTCAAAAACTCATTTGAGGATTTCGCAACAAAAATTTTTTTGAGCAAAAACAAAAATGTGCACTTTTTTTTTTACTCAAAGCCAAAGACGAAATTTTTATAAAACAAATTCACCCTGTACTTGATTTTCACCACGATCGTCAAATGGGATCGTTTTGTTCTGCCTTTCACATGAGACCAATTTTTCAAGAACCATTTTCTTCTACACCCACTTTCAATGCTGCAGAACAAAGTGCTGCGAATGTATGTTGATTAGCCATGATGTCACTTCCGGCACTCGAACGAGACGGACGGGTTTTCATGAGCTCCGTCGAAGCGGTCGGAGCGGTGGGCCGTGGTACGTCTGTTTCTGGAACCGCTGTCGACTGTCAGATAATACTGCCCCAACTGCCAACCGGATACGTTATTACCAATACTGTGTTCCTGCACTGCGACGTAAAAGGACGACCCCATTGAATGCGAGACTTACGTCAGGAGCTCGAGAGGCTGGATGTGATAAAGGACCTGGTAAGCGCCGGTCCCCACCAGATGAATCACGTCTGGATTTTCCGGTTGCACTCGCTCGCGGCGAAGCAAAGCTTCGTCGACGCCAAGGAGCTGACCATCAAAGGGGGGTGTTGCCTCGTTATCAACCCGGCGAACACAGCCGTGCAGTTGAAGCTTCACTGGGTCCAGTACGACATGCCCAACAGCCAGGTGAAGAAGGAACTGGAACGCGACGGCAAGGTCTCCGAGATCACCAGGGACCTCTTTCGGGAGAAATGATTTGAGGCTGTGGAATCCAACACCCAAAGTGTACACCTGACCCTGAAGGACGTCTACACAGTCAACTGCCTCCCGCACGAGATCCGCCTGGAGGGGTGCAAGGTACGCGTCGTGGAATCCGGAGGTGCACAACTCTGCCTTTGCTGTCGCCGTACGGGACACATTCGCCGGGATTGTTCCGCCCCCCCCCCCCCCCTTCCCCCCCCCCCCCCTCCCCGTTGCCCTGAATGCCACCGTTATTGGCATGAGGCAGAGGACTGCGTCAAGACCTATGCCTCGATGGCCCGTGACCGCAAGACGGACGAAGAAACCGACTACATGATGGACGACGCCGAAGCGGTGGAGGCGGTCGGTGCTCCCGCCCTGGTCTCACTATACCGCTGTTCGCGATAAGGGAATGATGCAGTTTTACTCCGGCACGCTCGATCTTCACGACGTTTCCATTCGATTCGCTAAATTGAATGTCGCGAATCGAATGAGGACGGGCACAGCGACGCGCGGAAAGCGTGTCACAGGCCACGTCCACCGAGCGGGATTGGCTAGGAGGGCTCGTAGCGTCCTCTTCGTCCGGACGTAAGCTGAAACAATATATACGCACCGCGGGCCAGTGCGCAGCGCAAATTTGTCACGAGTGCTGCGTGAGCGTTGGGCCGGGGCTGGTGTCCAATCAGTGAGAACGGGACTCCAAGCCAAACGCTCACGCGGAGGTCGCGAGTGATTTTTGCCCCGCAAGGGACGACCCATGGTGATGTGGGAAATTTATGCGGAGCGCAAGTTCGTCCGCTTCTTGCACAAGGGTTCCGATGATGTAAGAACGCCAAGCACCTAATGGCTGATCGAAACAACATAGTGGGTAAACCTCGAGGCTTCTAGCATTGACGTCTACCCACTATCCTTCCAGCCAAAGCCAATCAAAGCTCGGCGCCGTTCTGAAGTTACCGCAACCCCTGAGCAACAAGCAGACCACTTGTTCTCCGCATCGGTACGGCCTTTTGTTTAGGTGATGCTGCACAATAGGGAGGACGAAGGACGGTTCGGAAGAGACTCATTTCAAAAGTCGGCGCCATCGTCTGCCAGCCATTGCTTGATAACGTACCCTGAGCATCTATTCGCGTCTCCAGCTCGACGCTCGCCCTCCCGCGGCGGAAGCGGAAAGCGCTCTAGTGAGGGTCCCCCGATTCTCCTGCTCTGCGGGCACGGCGGGATTGTTCGCCATCATGGCTCGCGAAATGTCACTTCCCAATGCAAACAACACTCTTCACTGTCCCAACGTGGTGCTGCAGCCGGTATGGGATTTTACCTTATGAGAGAGTTTTAGTATTGCGCAGAGAAGCAAACGCAAGCGGGGTGCGTTGCGTTAGAGTTGCGTGACCCACGTTGGGGGGGTGCGTGCGTCTCATCGCCATGCGCCATCCTTGACCGCAATTTCGAGCTCCGCGTACGCCCAGTATGGAACACGCAAAGCTAACGCAAACCACACAGCGCTTGCGTTCGCTACTCGCTACTGTTTCAACGGCTTCCAACGCCAACGAAACGTGCTGCAGTGAGCAGACGTACAAGCAGATAGGCGTTCCTTCGAACTGGAAAGGCTGAGATTGGCCAAACGATGGAGCGTAAAAATTAAACTAAATGTTACAAATAGATTGGTCATTAAACAAAAATATGTTTTTATTTTTATTTTTTATTTTATTTTTGGGCATTTGGTCTGGTAGGAGATTGGCGGCGACTTTGGGCGTTTTGCCGATTGTCAAAAGTTGCGACTTTGATGGCAAAATATACTTTACCCACAATAAATGTAATTTTACATGGCTAGAATATTTTCATTAATTTTGAGACTATTTTTATTTTATTACTTGGTAATTCAAAATGACACAATTGGCACCAGTGATGATAATTAGTACGCTTTTGATTGTCATATCTATTCGCGCATTGAAAATTAGATCAAAGGCAACAAATTATATTAGAGCTTGAAAAATTATGTATTAAAATATCTGAATTTTAATATTATTAATAATTAATATAAATCGCGAAAACGTATGCTCTAATTAACGCCAAGATCACGAAAATATGCCAATTAACCTGGTATAATTTTGTTTCTTCTTAGCATATGAAAAACTCTGACATCGTTATCAAGACAGACAAACAGTCAAACACTGGATGTAATATAAAGTGCTATGCGTCACGCGTTGCTATGAAAAACACACACACACACACACGTCAGGTGTCTGACTTGGATTCCGTCTTTTGGTCGTTGCAGTGACAACAGCGTTTATTAATTTTTACGTTTTGTATGCATTTTGTAAAAGTTGGAATCATTCCCTTATTATTGTGCTGGGAATAATGTTAAATCAATTAATCATCTAAATACCCAAAAACCCATTGAAAGGATCGCAGTTCGTTGTTTCCTATGACAATTATCTGAGCGAGAAAAGACAGCGACAACGCACAAATATCAGCACTGATTTTTTCAACAACTACAAATATCAGCCTGGATCGAACATGCATGTATGTCACAAAATAAAGTTTCCATGAACAACTTCTATAACTAAATGATTACGATGTGAGACACATCTTGATTTATCAAAGAATCCGAAATTAACACCTATATCGAGAAATTCAGTCCAAAATAGAGGTTAGTTTCGGTTTCGCTCCAAAACTAAACGCGCATCATTGCGTGGATACTACTCTAAACACCGTTCCTGTCTTCAGGATAAAGAGGTGACCTGCGCTCATAACACCCTAGCTTCCTCGTATTACCAGAAATAATTTGTGTCGCTCAGTGAAGCCAGCACACTAGACAGGCTCAACAGCGGCACGCGTCTCCGACCCTCACTATAACCACCATCTTGGAAGATGAGTAGCGCCACCTATAGTTAGTTGGAGTCGCGAATTGGACGCGAGGGCAGCATCAGAGTTCTGCGTAAACTCGGATTGAATCAGCGCTTCGTGCCCAAGAGATGGCGACCATCGATGTTGCTCAAGGGACTTTTGAAAAGTAAAGCTTTTTAAACATTCAACAAAAGATTGCGAACGACCATTTAAAATGTGCAGCGATATACAGCAGGAGCTGTCGCGTTGGCGTTTAGTCAACGTGGTTTAAGATATTTACTTTAGGAGCTTTTCCTCTTAATATAATAGTATAATAGTATAATAGCTGTCGGAGATACGCTTTAGGAGATGCGTGAAAGGAGCTTACGCAAAAAAAAAAAACGATAAATGCAGCGGCGTAAAAACGCGTATAGATTACTACAGAACAAGTATGTGATAAATCAGACGTATAGGCAACCTGCAATGCTGTCTGGTTTGGCGCCATCTAGCGACAGAAGCAAGAAATAGTGGGTATCCCTGGGTGTGGCGGCTGCATTGTTCATGCGTGAGCTTTTACTCTAATGGCGCCGCTTATCCTAGTGTCTGAAGCAAGAAATACCGGGTATCCCAGGAAGCCATGATCGCGTAACGTGCCAGTACAGCGGAAGCTACGGCCCTGGCGGGCCAATGGGAACGAACTGCGTATGAACGGAGCGCGCCTCTTCTCCGAAGAAGTATCAGGCCTTTCGCTGCGTCATGCTCCAATATGTGTGCGTTACGCTCTTATATGTCACGCATTTCGAAGCCTTTGGCACGCAATGTGGGGCTTATCGTTCACCCTTTGCCGAGTTAGAACGAGACAGGGCATAACCGAGGGCTCTCACTCTGCCGGCGCCGCCTGACTGTTGCCGGCTGGCTATGGGCCGCGTCACGCGGCTTCCCACTCTTCTGATATCGCCGATTCCAGGAAAATCTGCTGGAACGCAGCCAGTGCATCGCGCGAGATAACGGCGGGCTGCAGTGGGCGTCAGTCCTATCTCAACGTCCTGGCTTTGCGGAACTCAAGATCCCTGGTATGTACTCTACGTACGCAGTTCGAAGTATTTTATGTCTTCTAAAAAAATGTTGGCCTGAAACTACCGTATTCTTCGGCCTATTAGTTGCTTCGTTCTATAAGCCGCACCTCCCTATAAAGGACTGTTAAAAATGATATATCTTTTTAAATGTACGGTCGGCAGAGTCGCAGGAGCCTACGTCACCAAGCTTCAGGCCGCCTTCGGACAGCCAAAAGCAAATTGCAGGGGAGCAGGACGTCGACGGGAGCGTTGCCGTCCGAATATTGTTGTAAGTGTTGATGCAGCCTATATCTAACAGAAATAAGGTTTGTACTTACAAAAAATAAATGCACGTAAATCGCACCGTCGTATATGATGCACCAATAAAGGCTCCGTAAATAAAAAAGTGGTAATGAAGTTAAGGTCTACTTAGGCGTACAATGCAAATAAGGAGTAGTTTCCGATCACTACATCCGTTATATCTTAAGAAACGATGCGAGACACAATACTAGTGAATTTGGCTTTTAACCAAGAAGTAAGCATGCTTTATTAGAACTTGCCACATTACGGCAAATATAAATATCCGCAAACGTGTTGCAGCCTGGAGGACAGCCTCACCGACTAGCTTTCCATCAGTGAGAGAACATTCTGCCTCACTGCCTTGCGAACACGCAAACACTCTCCTAGTCTAGCTTTGTTGTTCCCTTCGTGTTCAGGAAGCCTTCACTGGTAAGTGATTCTACTATGTTTTTGTGTGTTCGACAGTCTAAATGACTACAGTTTTGACCATGAATTGTGTTCAAACAGTAATTTCTTCACACTATGCCAAAATATTTTTGTATCAAATACCTATAATATAGTCAATAATAAAGTTGTGCTGTGTGCGGTTCCAGTAATTACAACATATTGTATCACGCCATCTTCACTTTCTCAGAATACTATCAAGTAGTAGCACTAAAAAAACGTTTTTTCTTAAGGGGATGGAGGTAGGGGAAGGAGTTCATGGCAGCCCTAGACTCGCAGTATGAGTGTGGGGGGATGGATATATGCATTTCTAAGCCAGCTTCGTGAATAAAACCTAGAAATGTGCGTACAGTTTTGCGTTATTAATCGGAAAGTCCGGGGTAAAGATCCATTCTGCCATGTAAGTCTCCCGTTATCATGCACTTCTTCCGTGTTGTCTCAAGGCCCTTGCAGCCCCCATATTAGGTTATCTATACTTACCGCATGTTGGGGGTTCATGCACGAGCTGCATGTCGGTGGCGTCCCCACCATTTATCCGCGCTGCTCTTCTGTCCGGTGTTTAGGCAGTATTGATTCTAAGGTCAAGGGCCCTTCATTCTGCAGGTCTCTTCTGGTCGTCGGGCAAAATCCTGTGACTGGACACCTTGACCCTTTGAAGATGAAGTCCTTCTTCATATCGGGATTTTCCGACACTTTGAATTGGAGGCCCCTGTACTTCCAAGAGTCCTCCGTTGCGCACATTGTATGCTCCCTGTGCGGCGTGGTGTCGAGAAATGTTGTCAGATTGCCCTGTGAGCACACACTCTGCTCGGAATGCCACGAGGATTCCAAGAGGCGAGGGAGTACTTGTCCACTGGATGAAGGATCCTTCGCCGACGATAACATTCTTCACCTTGATATCTCGGGAGGTTACATCCTGAACCATACGGTAAGTAAATCCAAATAAAGAAGCTGCAGAAATTATAGATATATTGTTGGAGCTTTACAAGCTCTTGAAACACTGCAATATTTTTTCTCGTTTTTTATAGCCAGGACTCCGCCTTTCAGAGTTGATTTATCGTGAAATTTGGAGGGTGTCTCTCGGACTTTCTTTATTGCCGAATATTCGGAATTTATGGGAGTTTATTTTTGTGTGATTCCCAGTTTTCTGAAGAAGGTAGTGTATATTTGCTATGTTCCTAAAATTTAAAAATCGAAAATAAAGATATATATTAATTGGCGGGTGTAACTCTGCCCTAGATATATAAAAACGCACGTGTACCACGCGACATTGGCACCCTTGCCATTAGTAGTACTACCATAAAATCATTAGAAATAGCCCACCTAGAATTAAGAGAAAACTGGGAGTAAATAAGCAGTGGGCTAACTTTCGGTGTGCAATCAAGAAACGTTTAAGAAATTTCACATTATATAATGTGCTTCTGTCAAACTTGTTATCGCGGCAAGGGGCAATGAAGCAAAGATTACTGAACTTCCCAGTCAGCAATGTCATATTATGATAAATGAACTCCTTGACGCAGTCGTTGGAAAGCTTGTATTCTCTTCATCCTTTTCTACCGCTTCTCCCTGCGGCTGCGGTGGGTGGAGTGGGGAAATAGAAGCCTCAGCTGTCCCTCTTATGGAATCTAAAGGCTCGTTCACACAGTTGCGTCGACTGCGTTGCTCTGCGTTGCGCCATGCAGCACAGCGCCTCTCCATTGGCTCGTCGTAAGTGTCGCCGTAGCCACAGCTCCACGCCAACAGTCTTAAAAACACGCAAATGGTTGCGGTCGCACTCAGACGCAAATGTGTGGATGAGCCTTAAGAGTTTATGACTTTCACGGTTATCAAATCACAACTCTCCCTTCCTTTAAGAAGTTGAATCTGTAAACCAAAACAGTGATTTCTGTCGTGGCCCAGAATTACAATGCCCCGGTGTCCTGAAGGAACCCTGAAGGAATAAACGTTGAACCTTCTTCGGTCAATATTACAATATTTTGAAGGAATCTGAAAAGTCCTCTCGTGCCTCTCATGATGACTGCTGAACCTGTGCTGTCACCAAACTTACTCGTAGAAAACTGAACTTTTTTTTTTGTTGGTTATCATTTTTCTTGAAATTTTTTTAATAAATCTGAGTTCAAGAAACGTTTACCGGCGAGATTTTTTTTTCTTAATTTTTTTTCGGTTTTATTCTAAAACATGCCACCCTTTCTATAGACCACTCATATTTAATTTTAAAAGAATGAATGTTAAACTTTTATTTATTTTCTAAAAAAAAATATTTTTACATATATTTTCCTAATCGTTTCAAATAATCAATGTGAACAACTCGCATGTTTTCGGAGATTTGCCTCCGGTCTCCAACTCGGATATTCGCTTGTTGTGCCGTCTTTTCGTTTTCAGGTTATAATTATATAAGGGCTGAACATTTCTTTCGTTTTTTGTTTTCACAGGTAGCCTGCAGCAATGCACCCAATGGTTGCGACTTCATAGGTCAAGCTTCCAGACTCGTGGATCACTACAAGCAGTGCTCGTTTCACGTCGTGCCTTGCCCCAGGTGCCAATCATCAGTGCTAAGGACTGAGCTCGTGGGTCACTGTAAAGACGGCTGCAGTTCTGCGTCCACTACACCCGTGCCCATTCCGTATTATATAAACGTGAATCATGATAACTTAGAAAGTACAAGCAGGGAACTGAAAAGAGAGATGCTGAAGATATCCGAGGATCTCTCCTGTCTTCAAACCAGCCTGAACCAGTGGCGTGAGGAAGTTCGAACATTGGAGAAAAGCGCAAACGAGGAACTGAAGGACAGAACACTCAAGATCTCTGACCATCTCTCCGGTCTCCACACCAGTGTGGAACAGTGCCAAGAATATGTGAGGGAAGCAGCCAGAAACACCAAAGAGCATTTGGTCAGAATCGAAACTCAAGGTTTTGCTGCAGCAAAAAAAGAACTGAAACTTGCCATTGAAGACACAGTGAAGACGCACATGGCTCAGGAGTTACGTGTACAATACGAAGAACTTATGAATGTTACGAAGGGTGTATCCGATTCCGTGCTTGGAATTGGCGCAGACAAGGAATTTCACTGGTACTTGAAAGGCTGGGAAGACTTAAAAAAGAATGCTTCACACGTACAGCCTACGAACATTGACAGCCCCTTACAGTATGTATGTGGCTATAATGTGTGCATCCGTATTTTGTTGCAACGATTTCCATCTAACACGCATTTAGCGATGGGTATGTGTATCCATCCAGGTGTCAACGATTCAAAGCTGGAATGGCCCTTCAGCAAGACTTACACGCTCGGTGTCATTCATCCCAAAGACAAAGCAAAAAGAAATATTGGTAAAGTCGATGCAAGTAAATATTCGGACGACCCGAGATTCCAGATGCCAAAACAAGGCGGTAATATATGCTTTGGAAAGATTTTCGGTGCCGCTAATGAGCTCGAATGCGAAGGCTTTGTTATTGGCGATTCGCTGCACTGCTTTCTCCAATTTGAGCCGTAATGTTCTTTTCCGGTAGGTTAATAATTTATTATCGAGAGGAGCAAAAAATGTTCTGCTGCCTGGAAAAAAACGCTTACCTGATCCAAATAAACATAAAACGGATGGAACGACTCATTCACCTCGTTCTTCAAAAAAAAAAAAAGTACGCGACACGCGCCTTTCAGTGTATTTACCTGGAGGAAACGGGAATTCCTTTTTGTGCGCACTGTAACTAGCACTGATAATCTCATTGCAGCTACGAGTATAACATAAAATATAGGACTTCTCTTCACGACAGGCTGCCACAGTAAGCCGGCATCCAAACGAAGCCGCAGCGTGTATATTATTGCATATTGTATATTAACATAAAACTCCGCTCAATTGTAGATATTTTTTTTTTTAAGTATGCACTTTCCTTAGTGAGGCCGAGGAATGCCGCAACTGCCATAATAGGATGTAACTCTCTCTAAATCTGTATTAAACTTGTCAAAAATCTACGACATGCACCAATTCAACAGATTCTGCTACTTTGGCGGGCAACAAGCCTCGCATCGAACACTGCGCTGCCTACGTCAGATATATTACGAAATTCATTGTTTTTGTTTTATGCTGAGCTCGGTATTTCATTAAAGGGAACATTTGCGAGTGCGTCGGTTGGCGGATATCCCCCTCTAGCCGTCTGCTACGTAGATCCCGATATAGCGCGTGTATCTCCCCTCTCTCTAGATAACATTGTTTAAGGCAGGGGTCGGCAAACGTTTGCAGTGGCGGGCCGAGGCGTCACGAAACCGACACGGAGTGAGCTGGAAGGGAAGTCGCAAGAGTGAAAGGGGAAGGGGGAGGCAAACCAGTAAAGAAAAAATATACAAAAAACACTGGCCCAAATTCGCATTAAGGACTGTCCCAAGAATTCTGATGAACCCGCAGAGCTCGACCCCATGAACGTTGCATTCTTGATTGAGCAGTGACCCCTTGGGTAGCTCTATAAACGCGAATAGAATTCTCGAAACTTTCCAGAGCGCGCACAGGCGGTCTCGTTCCGCGCTCATGTCTAGGCGCTCTAGTGTCTCGAGCGCTCCTGTCGGCGCTCTCGTGTTGTGCGCTCTTGGGTTACACAGCAATGTAAAACATGTGGCAAAAAGGTTATTGCGAGCGCGGCGCCCGACTGGTGTTCATGCGTGCGTGCACCTGGACAGTGCGCGTGAACAAAGCTTTTGGCAAGCTTGCAATTGCACCCACTTGCCCGCACGAGCAGAGGCATGGCGGTCCCCAGATGCCCCGTTTGCAGAAGCCAATAGGCGCTTTTAAAAAGCTGTGCACGGGCGCAGCCATAACCGTCCTTCACTTCATCGTTATCACAACATGATAGGTTATTTCCATTTTATATTCCATTGTGTCCAACTGCCTAGCATTCATATCCATGGAGGCTTGTCTACGTCCTTTTTACTGGCTCGGTATAGACAAGCGACGATAAGCAATGGCGGCTGTAATCTTGCGCGTGTTTAAAGCGTCTGTACTTAAAGGATTCTTTATAACAGAGCAGGCGCATGTCAGCGGTGAATGATGATCAGTCCATTATACTCGTACTTCGTTTCAGCTTAAGATCCGATGCGACCGACGCGACGTGCTAATTTGACCAATGAATCGAGCTGAAAAGCACAGGTCACCATAAAGTTTCTGTTCATACTTGGCTCAGCGATGGTAGAACACGTTCAGAGATATGACGTGGTGCTCTTTTGATGCTCTCTGATTGGTCCCATCAGCTCGTAGCGTCGGCAGTGTGTGGACTTAGGGTGAAACGGGGTGTAGTTCGCAGCCAAACGTCGCTGCACGCAGCCGATTCCCGACGAGGCGTAGCTTTCCCCATGGAAACACGACATTAGGGGAGTGGATAATGACGCAGTAAGGGGTAGCGGAGCGGGCGTATGGCGTCAGTGCTACAGACAAAAGTAAATTGATAGATCAAAGAGCGCGATAAACCTCCTCTCTTTCCGATTACTTTAGTTTCCATATGAGCGGCTTCTAAGAATCCAAGTGTGCTTAGAATTCAGGCCCTTACATTCACCCACAAAAGAAGCAGAACTCACGAAAACTTCCCATTAAAACATTTTCGTGGCACACGCTACCCCAAGAAGTGTAAACTTGTCTCGATAATTCCGATAAACCAGCAGAGCACAAAAGTGTGTAATCTCTGGAGCGCCTTCGAAACCACCCAAAGCTCCCCACAATCAAGCATGGCAAATCGCAACGCGGCCATAATACACAGATGACAATTTTTGTATTCCCCTGGTTTATAAGAACGATCAAGGCAAGTTTGATTTTTTGTTTGCAAAGCAAAAACGTGTAGTGGCAAAAAAAAACAAACAAAAAAAAACGAACAGACAGAAGTAACGAGGCAGATATATCAGAAGTATCAATCGCATCATCCGACTTTTTTTGTTTTTGTCATATCTCCGGTCTCAAACAAAACTACAAGAACGGTGCCAGGGCAACATCACCCTAAAGATAGCGACCGCTTCGAGTGTTTTTCACTTCGCAGTCAGGCGCGGTACGCGTCAGTCTTATCTCAACTCCTGGCTTTGCAGGTCCCCAAATCGCACGTATATGGTACGTCTGTAGACGCATACGGCATTCCACGTTTTTATGTCTTTAACAAAGCGTTCGCATGAAACTGTCCCAATCTGCGGTGTATAACTCGCACCGTTGTAAACGCGGCTCCTCTATCTACGGTTCGCAGAGCCGCTTCAGCCGCGACTTATGTTGCAACGCTTCGGAGCGCCTTCGGACCGCCAAAAGAGCAGGCCCTTGGGGGGGGGGGCTCTGCCGTTCCTACTTTGCTGTTAACGTTGACAAAGCCTACACCTTGCACAGATCAAAAGGTACACGTATGATTTGTACGGTTGTATACAACGCAGTAACCAATTTCTGACAAAAAAAAAGAAAAGAAAAAAGAGTCTTATACACTTGACATAATGGTCCACATATGCGAACATTGCAAAAACCGGTAGATTTCGATCACTACATGAGGTATGTCCTGAGCAAACATGTAAACATGTACGAATTAAACGTGTTTCCTGAGAACTTGCCACATTGTGGCAACAAATATTGGCTAAACTTTTGTCGCCTGATGTTTCCCAATAGTAGAACCACATTCTGCCGCACAGCATGGCGAACTCGGAAACATTGCCCGATACTAGCAAAACTTGTTGTTGGGCGAGTTGGCTTATGAAGCTGAGCAAACATGTACGCGAAAAACGAGGGCGAACACAAATGCTCTCGTCTTTGTCTCCTCCTTCGTGTTCTTCCTTTGTGTTCGAGCATACAAGGTTACGCATCACCCTATTGGTTGATTAGTTCCTTTCGGGGGGTCTTCTCCAGTAGATTCAAATTGGCAAGCATGTGAAACATGATTAACCGAAAAAAGAAAAGCAAAGCCAGCTTGCGAAAAAAAAAAAAAAAAAAAAAAAACACGCCACGCTGTTTTGGGTTTGCTGCACATAAAACGTGTACTCCATCACCCTCTAACGCGGAGCTGTGTACATAGGGGAAACCGGCCGATGTACAAATTACCGCTTACGTGAACGCACAAATGCAGGCACTTTAAGAACTGATAACTCCATTCCTCCGATAGCGGTTCACGCCACCGTATGCCTTGGATGCGCGCCTGACTTCGCGGGAACCCAGACAAAGGGGGGACACCGCAATCGGTTTGGACGTGAGATAATCAAAACCTTTCTCGTCGAGAACGCAGAAAACAACGTTTTATCGGCTTCAGTAACCTTGTCAAGACGGAATATAAAATTCCTCGGGCTTAAAATTGAAAAAAAAATTCTTGCTTCGTATTTTTATACAGCCTTGATGTTCGTATTCCTCAACGGGTCATCGGTCTCTTAGCTGCAGATGATAAATTTAGCCAGTGCAGTACAACCGCTAACCTGAGCTTTCTAACGTTCATCACGCAGTAGTGATTACACGAACGCGTGCCAGTACAAATTCCAACTTCAAAAATATCGCAACTCCCCGTAAAAACTTAATCGTTACTGTAGTTCCTCCCTTGCCTCGTGACTTCTTCCTCCCCTTTCCTATCCCCCAGTTTTCCTTCTCCCTATCACCTTATCTTTGTTGGAATCTCGTTCAGGGTGCAATTTTGCTGCCCAAAATCATACGTTGTGGCTCAATAGAAGAACGTGTTTTTCCCGTGCTTGTCCTCCGCGTTTTATTCTTTCTATTTTAAGTGCTAATTTTCTAGTCGCTCGCTTTTACCACTCCTAAAATATTTGTATTCTCAAACGCGGGAGCATACCCACACCTGCTGCAGTGGACTGCTAAATGGCCGGACGGATTCGTACGAGGAGAGTGGCAGTGCTCCCTCAGTCTGTCATTAATGCAGCGTCCCGTTGGGCCCACACAGGCCTAACCACAAGACAGCGGAATGCAGTACTCAACACTCAAACGGCAGTGGACGAAACGATTTACATGAGGGAAGAACAATTATTTTTCCTGAGTGAAAGAGTGTAGTGATAATTTTTTTTAAATTCCATTATTTACCAGTTACTTTGATAAAAAAAGATCACAATCAAACTCGTACAGCGTACCAATTTATTGACACTTTAGTGTGTGCGCGTGCGTGCGTGTGTGTGTTTGTGTTTTCATATTGCCCCGGTCCTGAAGTAATTATGGATGTCGTTCATCACCTTCCCTGCGCCTTTTCACATTCTTCGTTGATGCATTTCGAATTTTTTTACAAAAACACTGCTCGCTTTTTGTTTATATGAAAAAGATAATAAAACCGTGTTTTTCTTTGCAGTATACATCTACTTGTGATCTCCTTTCGCCTCGCATAGATCGCGGGGAACAAAATATTCTAGGCTTCACTTGGCGGCAGCGCGGCCTGTCAGTCCACGCGTGGCTTACCATTTTTATCCTTAATGCGAAAGCATTAACTATCCCATGAAGCGGAGCCAACCACGTGTGTAACCGCAAAAAAAAAAAAAATTTATTGGCTCAGCAAGTCGGCTTTTAGATAGCCACTGGCGGTCGCTTCTGGAGGGCGGGTAGTCGGTAGGTTTGCGATAGAGTTTCGTTTGTAGTTCGTTTTCCTCCATGTGCATGCTCACATGCG